ATTTGTACAGAGATGACCTTACTGACCTAAAAACACCCATAACATATTTCGACGATGCCAGTCTGCCGAGCACAATACCGAGCGTTGGGATTGAGTTGGTCTAATATCTTATAGTATTGCACATTGTATCGTACTTTGTGAGATCTTAACTATTACCCAACCAAGCCAACCAATTTAGACAAAGTTTGAAAGTTGTGCAAGAGATGCATGATTTATTTTATTAGGTTTGGTACCTATTTATGAAATTTAATGAAAAATATTACTCCAAGAAGTGAGAAAGTTCATAAGTTGACACCTTATACTTTAAAGACGATTTTGATCGGCGCTGTATTGACTACTGAAATACGTTCAAACTGAAATGAAGGCATAATATAAAGCAGAGGTTTAAATTAAGAAAATTCTTGCTCTAAATTTGGTTACATTTTTTCCTATGACGTAGATAGTCTATAGGGTAAGTTTCTCAGTAGAAAACTGGTCAAACGATTGTCATAAAAACGTTCGTCAAAAATAAACTAGAGAAATATTGCAGAAAAAGCATTGGGGGGAGGGGGTAAAGTGATTTTTTTTAAGACCAAACCGACGCCTTCTAGACAGGAGCAGGCGATCCTTCATCCTCGGAGACCCAGGGGCAGATAGTGGGGACGAGGGAAAGTCTAAACGGGCGGAAAAATATGACACGAAGAAAAGTAAAGAACGGCGAGAAGAGCCCCTGGGGACAATGTCTTACCAGACCAGTTCCAACGGTCGCCGCCGTTCTGGCTTCTGATTGGTGCCAGAAAACTTGTGTTTTTCTGGCACCAATCAGAAGCCAGAACGGCGGCGACCGTTGGAACTGGTCTGGTAAGACATTGTCCCCAGGGGCTCTTCTCGCCGTTCTTTACTTTTCTTCGTGCCATATTTTTCCGCCCGTTTAGACTTTCCCTCGCCCCCTTTATCTGCCCCTGGGTCTCCGAGGATGGCGATCCTTTATCTGAATGTCTGGATGAGCGCCTACCCTAATTCCCTAACCCCTGATTTAGCTCTGTATCCAACACTAGGATGCTTTTTTTTTTTCATTTTTTAAACAAAAATTAAGCCATTCAAAAAATGGGTTTTTTTGACGTCATCAAAATCCATAAACTTATGCTTGATTATTCATAACATATGATTAATCGGTATTTACATGGCATTTTCATTCAGTTTCATACATTTTACGTCACGTCAATCCCACCTTCGGGTATAATTACAGAAAATTTGCGATTGGCATGCCTCCACTGCTCAGTGACTGCTGTTGTGGGTTGGCATCTTGCCCGTTTGGTCAACGCAAAGGTCAGAGTTCGAACTCCAGTCAAGCCTGAGGTTTCTTTTCATACGTATGTCACCCGCATTAATGAAAGTCAAATGGTGGGAACTGTTTGTAATGAATGCTTGGGAGACATATTAGCTTGACACGAAGCTGATTTTTCATTTACCACGTTACGGCAATTAACAAATTAAATGAAGTAGTAATCGTGGGCTCGCCGAAAATTTGTGCGTTCTCGAGAATCTGCAGTTTTAAAAATTTCATCAACGGCGCACAGCTCAGGGGCACCCAACGTCAATGTTCGGAAAATATCTGTTCGGAAGACGATTTGAGATCTAGAATTTTCGGAACATTTTTTGTAAAATTTCTTGCTTGCCTACCTCTCCTAGGATTTTCGAACATCTAAAAATTGGTGTAATTGCCCATTTTTAACAGATTTTTACCCTAAAAAGCTCACCTAGAATTTTCGGAGCCTTTTTTCTGGCTGAAATTTTCGAAAAGGTAAGTTTTGATCTCTATGATTTTCGGATCTCGAGACTTTCAGCTAGGAAATCCGAACAGATGAAAAATTTTTAGGTGATAAAAATATGCCTAAATTTACGTTTAAATACTAAAATACGTTTAACAATGCTATGTTTAAGTGGTTTTGAACTATATTCTCGTTGGGTGCCCCTGACAGCTGTAAGTCGGGACCTTGACCCGGGTTCAAGTCAGCTTATCGGCTATGCTTTATTAGGGTTTCTCTCCTACCACTCCGGTTTCCCCTCTCCTTAAATGCTAATTCTTTCCAATTAAAATTGATCTGGAAGACACGAACAACCGAGTTATTCCGAGTGCTCGTAAGTAAACAAATCACACGTGATTGCATCAACTGATACGCATATGTAGAGGGTCTGTGTACGATTTGCGACATTTTGCCCTGCCTTTTTTCAACGTGTTATCAAGGTCAGAGACCGGCTTATAAACTGTGATTAGAGAAGGTCTTTCTCGATCACCATTCAATCAAAGTCAAAGATTTGTACAGAGATGACCTTTGTGACCTAAAAACACCCATAACATTTTTCAAAGATGTCTGCTGAGCGTTGGGATTGGGTTGGTCTAATATCTTACAGTATTGCACATTGTATCGTAATTTGTGAGATCTTAACTAATACCCAACCAAGCTAATCTATTTAGACAAAGTTTGAATATAGTGCAAGAGATGCCTGATTCAGATTTTATTAGGTTTCTGTACCTATTTATGAAATTTAATGAAAAAAGCTACTCTAAGTGTGAGAATGTTCATAAGTTGACACGTTATATTTTAAAGACGATGTTGATCGGCCCTGTATTGACTACTGAAATACGCTCAAACTGAAATGAAGGCATAATATAAAGCAGAGGTTTAAATTAAGAAAATTCTTGCTCTAATTTTGGTTACATTTTTTCCTATGACGTAGACAGTCTGTAGGGTAAGTTTCTCAGTAGAAAACTAACCATTGTCATAAAAACGTTCGTCAAAAATAACTTGGAGAAATATTGCAGAAAAAGCATTGGGGGGAGGGGGTAGAGTGAGTTTTTTAGGACCAAACCGACGCCTTCTAGGCAGGAGCAGGCGATCCTTTATCTGAATGTCTGGATGAGCGCCTACCCTAATTCCCTAACCCCTGATTTAGCTCTGTATCCAACACAAAGATGTTTTTTTTTTTTCATTTTTAAACAAAAATTAAGCCATTCAAAAAAAGGGGTTTTTTGACGTCATCAAAATCCATAAACTTATGCTTGATTATTCATAACATATGATTAATCGGTATTTACATGACATTTTCATTCAGTTTGATACATTCTACGTCAAGTCAATCCCGCCACCTTCGGGTATATTTACAGAAATTTGCGATTGGCACCCTCCACTGCACAGTGATTGCTGTTGTGGGTTGGCATGTTGCCGCTTTGGTCATCGCAAAGGTCAGAGTTCGAACTCCAGTCAAGCCTGAGGCTTTTTTCAGACGTATGTCACCCGCATTTACCAAATTCAAATGGTGGGAACTGTTTGTAATGAGTGCTTGGGAGACATATCAGCTTGACAGGAAGCTGATTTTTCATTTACACGACGGCAATTAACAAATTAAATGAAGAAGTAATCGCGGGTTCGCGGAAAATTTGTTCATTCTCGAGAATCTGCAGTTTTAAAAATTTCATGGGAAGGGGTAAAACTAAGTTGAATAGAGTTACGTGCCCACACTATAGTCAAATTCAATTGGGCACGATGTACTTTCTTTCTTCTCTTAGCTCTTTAGCATAACTAGAGTCCCGGAAGGTTAGTAGGGGCATTCAACAAATTTTTATACGGGGCCAGTAGCGGATCTAGGGGAGAGGCCCGGGAGACCCACCTCCCCAATATTTTTAGACTAAACTGAGACCCGAAGGGCCGAAAAAAAAAATTGGGGAGACCGGGCCCTCCCCTTATCTCGGGGTCTGGATGACCGCCCCTCCCTATCTCAACGTCTGGATCCGGCACTGGGGGAGGTTCCGCTCCGCACCGATTTCAACCCCTTACTCTTTCATATTCCAGGGGCACCCAAGGACGGTTTACTCCTAAATACATTGAAAACACTTTTTAGGCTATCCAGAGTACTTTTAGATCTTTGGAAATACATTCTAATCAGCGCTATAAAATTTATATCTGTTCGGTCATCCTGGGGGCAACTTGAATCTTTTCGAAATTACCAGGGTTTCACTATTATGTTCCCGACAATTTTAGATGCAATTTAAAGTTCTACGAAAGTGAGAATCTTTCTGATTCCTCTTGCCATTGCATTTTCAAATCTGAAAATTTCAGGTTTCCTTTTTCTGAGAAAAATAGCTTAATCTGGGGAGTGAAATGCGAAAAATTAAAATTAGCAAATACGGTAGGGATTTTATTAGATAATCTTCGAAAATTGTACATGAATGGAACGGTCACCTAGAAATTCTTAGCCTTCCTCAAGATATTTTACAGAAAACTGTCGTTGCGTGCCCCTGATATACCACTTTTGACAAAAAAGGTATCCTTCTATTGACAAATGGTACCCCTTTCACATACTTAGTTTTGAAGTTTGCATCCTTTTTAACTGCTCTGTCTTTTAAATATGAAAAACTCATCATAAACCAAGACGTTTTCTCGCTTTTTCAACAGCCCTAAAACGCGTCTGATAGACAGATTTCCCTAGCCTTTCAAACCCTTTCATGTACTTCACCCTAATGATCTTTTATCCAAGCGTTAGCCTGAATGAGGTAACCCTTTACCCCTTTAGGAAGGAGTCTCCCCGTATAGGCCATTATAGTGAGCACCACCCCAGCCCTCTCCCCCGCCACGAACTAGAGAAAAAACTAACTGTTTTTGAGGAGCCGTACGGTGACTTGACCGTCCGCGTTTGCCAAACCATTTTGACAGGAGATACTTCCTCAATTCTTCAACTAATATAGGAAAAGGTGTAACATGGCATAACCCGACGACACAAATTAAAAGACAAATCTTTAACAGCAACAATACAAGAAGGGAAAGAAAACAATACAATGCAAGACGGGAGGAATATTGATTTTGGCGGCCATACCTTGATCTATTGTCAAGGGAATAAAATAAGTGTAAAAAAATTGCTTATCTTGACGAGAGTGTATTTACCATTTTCAAAGCCTGTTACATTTGCTCATACCGTGTTAATACATGGCCGTGCAGATAAAACTTCACTGAAACAGAGATACTGTACTAAGACTTTTATTTACCTAAACAGGCATCCCTTGGGTTACAGTTCAAGTGATACATTCCACATCAAAGCAAGCAAGCTTTTTTATTACGATAAAATGTTCCTACGGCTTCAAAAAATTGTAATACAATATCGGCTATATCTAACAAAAGCGTCTAAAAATATTGCCTACACCGAAAACATTAACTCTTCAAAAAATAATGATGACCACACATGTGTCGTAAGAACATTACAATTACATTTCTTTAGTAAACTTTCATAAATGTAGAATAACAAACCATAGAGTTCCTATATTTCAACTGGCTAATTGTTGACATCACATTTTATCAAAGAGAGCTAACGTTTCTTCCTCAAGTTCCAATTTAATTAATAAATCACCTGACACGACGTTTATTTTATTTTGGAAAAACTCACATTGTCATAAAAAAGTGCAACAACTCTTCATCACATTTAGACTAGCGATACCTAATAGTACAGATGTTTTTCGCCCTATTTTCATTACTTGCCCTTACCCCAGGCCTTACCCCACACTAGTCAGGTTAACAAGGCTACCAACCATTTACAATTTTAATACATCGCTTCAGAGGAGGAGTCGGAGTCGGAGGAGTCAGAGGAACCCCAAGCTTCGAGCCTGCTCTTCTTCCTCAGGTCCAAAAAACCCTGTAGAATCAGAAGTGGAAGTTGTTTTAGCCTGATACAATTAATGAGTCGTCGTCGTCGTCATCGTCGTTGTCGTCATCATCATCATCATCATCATATTATTATTATTATTATTATTATTATTATGCAGTATAAGACGTAAGAAAGGAAACTGTTAACCACGCGCGTAAGGCGCACAGCGTCAGCGTAGCCTATATGTGGCCTTAAAGGAACTTAACTACTGTAGAAAACGACCACCCTTATGGAATGTTACATTTAAAAACTTTATAATAATGCAGAAAGATAAAAGTGAAGATAATAAAAAAACAACTAAGAAATATAACGGTAATAAATTTTTCGAATCTAGACTAATCCTTAAAAAGCACTTAAAATGTCACTTCTGCTATCCCATCGAAACATGGTCCTAATACGTCCTTACTATAAGATCAGTTTAACAGTTAAACAACAGTTGCCTTGAAAGTACGTGCTGTGTTTAGCGATTGCTTCCTTAACTCTCATCGCAGGGGACCGTACATGGCTGTCTCTCCTCTCCTTCTTCCGGCGATTCTCCACACACGGACAACTCATCTATCTCTACTGCCCAGACCCTCTTTCCCTTATGGTCCAAAAACCGTGCATCCACTCTGTTAGCCTCGACACAGGTATGGTCAAAGTAAACCGGCACATCCTAATAGGAATGCGCATCAGTTGTCTCGTACATTGGTTTAAGTGTTACTGGCGTGTCCCATTGGGGGAACATAGTCCACCAATGTAAGGTCGTAACATATTATTTCGAAGAAAAGTATCTTCAACGCGGCATTGTGTCGGTTCAAGTCCTTTGACTGAGCTAGCTTCCTTATTACTACACGATTAGTAAAAACAAAAAAAAGTAATGAAAGTTTATATTACCTTATCTTCAACCTTTCTCTTTTTAACTTCTGCCTTTTTACTTTGTCCTTTCCCATTGCTCAAGCCAAAGGCATTTCCGATAGCTTGAAATGTGCCCTTCATTTCTTCAACAAGCAACTGAGTTTTCTTGTTCTCTTTGGATAACTCTGCCAATTGATGTTCCATTTGTGAAAGTTTTTTCCTCTGCTCTCTTTCTGTCGCTCTCAATCCCCGAATCTCTTGATTGCACATGTCCAAAGAATGTTTCATAGACACCTTTTCCTCTTCCAATCTTCCTACGCGTTGCTGTAGAATCCCATAATCACTTACTTTTTGTTTTAACGCATGAAGTTGGCGACATGCATTGTACAGGTGCCCAGTGCTGTTTTTTTGACAATGCATGCTCATCTTACCCCGATGTTCCTGCATGAAAACAATAATAAACACTTATATTAGGTAGCCTTTGTACGGCCAATTCATAGCAACTCTTGGGCCACAACAGGCTCTTTGCATAACTGTGATCACGTGATCAACTTTCTTTTTTTTTTTTTTAAATATGTTTATTGATAATCACATTAAATAATTACATTTACAAAACAAAAAAACACTTTAACAACAGACATTAACAGAGTAAAGCAAAAAAAATTGTCAAATTATTATCGGAGGTGTTACAGGGCTAAAAGAAATTATAAAAAAGTCCAACAGGGCAATGAAATAATACGGAGTTAATACAGTTAACTTAAATAAGGCGACAGTATCCACTTTCTTTTAAAGAATTCTTTGTTGCTGATTTTTTCTTCTGTTTCATATTTAGCGATGATCTTGGCTCTAAATCCATAAGTGTTTGGAAGGATTTGTTTGCTCCTGCAGTCCCACTAATAGAGTTTTCCAATAATTATAAAATAGTTCAGCAATTGAAGTAAAGGGCAAGCATTTTCCATCAAAATTCCAAAGAGCACATTTTCCAAG